AATGCAAACAGAGAGCATGAAGAAAAACAGGATAAAACTTTGACAATGGGAAAAATACAAAAACAAAATGAAGACAACTTATAGTTGGTACTTAAAAATTCTGTTTCAGTTGATCTCTTTGGAATCTATCTTTTCTAAAATAAAAGCAAAAGAATGCTCTCGTTTTACATGATAGAAATTTTCTATATATTCCAACCAATGCATTGATTTGACATTCATACTTAAACATTTGAACATTCATATTTATCATTTATCATTTTATTTTTTAATTAATATAATTTATTTATATGTATAGTTTACATCATTGTTCATTTTTGGACAATGTATGCTTTCTCCTCTCAGGTGTGGTTCCCATAAAATTCCCACCACTAATTCACCTGTGCACCATCACCATAGTCCCGTGGGTTTTCCCTCCCCTATTCTGATCCCTCCCCTTCCCCTGAAGAATGTCTCTGATTTATAGTTGCCTGTTAATTTTGGTTTTTTATTGTTATTATTTTTCTCCTGACCATTTACTATTTTCAATAAAAAAGTAGAACAAATCAAGTTACTACTTGCAATATTATTAGTTCTAGAAATATAGATGTCTGACTCTTGTCCATAGAATCATAGTTTCAGGAACTTTATAACAAAAGTCATGATGAGTATAAGGAAAACTATTCCAATAAGTTACTAGAGAAAGGCAAAAAAAAGAAGTTTGAAGAAAAGCAAAGTTTAAAGCAATAATTATCCAATACCAACATTTCTTGGCCTTTATAAGTTTCTCCCTGATATGCTAGGAATTTATTTTTCAACTCTCAGAGTTTCTGCCTCTTAAAACACACACACACACACACACACACACACACACACACACACACACATACATACAGGGAAGGGGGAAGAATAGAAGTGAAGTGGGAGACAGAGACAATGAGAGGAAAAAAAAAGAGAGACAGACTCTATCCCTGTGTTCACAGTTCCAAAAGAGGGGTTTCAGTATTGAGCAAAATGTAGATCAAGACCCTACAGTGCTTACAATCTGGAAGGGAAATTGACATTCATTAGATAACTGTAGAAAGAGACATGAAATTATAATGAATAAGTTACATAGTATTAAGAGTCTATATGTTAAGAAAAGATGACCTGGTGGTATAGCAAGAAAGGTTCCTTTTAGTAAGTGACTATTGTTGAATGTTCAGTGTTGAGACACTGAACAAAAAGAGATGGAAATGGTGACCCATTCAGGGAAAACCAACCATGTGCAAATACATGACAGGGAGGAACTGAAGGGCCTCGGTGACTAGAATGAAGGAAAGGGGTGGGGCGCTGGCATGGGGTGATTTGGAGACACTGAGAATAGTGCTCAACCATTCACAGCATTGAAAGCCATGTTAAAGTCTATAATCTGAGAGTAATGATTTTTGTATTTTTGTAAGACTCTCTTTGACTAACTATGGAAAACACATTGAATAAGTGTGTCAGCGGATAAGAGATAATGTAGGAGGTCTCTATAGTATCCTAGGGGCAACTATGGTAGTGGGGGCCAGGGTGTTGATGAAGAAAAATAGATGAATTAAATAGGACCAAAATAGGTGATAGAATATACAGATTGAGGAGATAACAAGAAAGGATGATCCCTATTTTTATAAAATATAATGATGTATGCTGAATGTGAGAATATTTGAAGAGTATATTTTAAGAGCTAACCAAAAAATTTACTTGCAGCATAAATTTAAGGCATTTAGGTAATTAGATATATCAATTTGGAATAAAATACATAATTAAATACATAAATTTGGGAGTCATTATAAGAACATGATATAACAGGTTCCCTTTTTGCTCTATCTTTTAGGATTATTGAACCTAATTCATGTAGCCACTTCAGCATTGATGGTTAGATATTACTTATTAAAACCCTACTTTCCTATCTTTGTTTCTATGGCTTAAGTATCCTAGGATGATTTTAAGTACATAAATATATACCTAAAAATATCAAGCATAAAAATATATCTGTGTGGTTGAGGATCTATACAATTTTTTTAAACTACTTTCATAGAGATGGTAAAAGGATCAAATAATTCTTTTTTGGAAAGTATCATGATGGAAAACACATAGAAAGTATCAAGTGATAATATGTTGGTTATTATTATATAAGTGATTAAACCTCTATCAACTAATGTTAATAGTCAACCTAATGTTACCAGAGTTGATAATTTACAAAATTTAAACATAGGGAAGATGTTTCAAAAATAAAAGTTTTTATAGGTATTATATATTTAATGTAATTAAAGATACTTTAATATTCCAAAGACATATTAGCCCTATAGAGTGATTATCATTGCTGTATGCTTTAGAAAATTACCTTTAGATGCATATATACATATGCATATATTTACACAGGCATGCATACCTCCTGTTTGAGTATTACCACTTATTGTTAAAGGTCACAAGTCCTTTAGTTCCGCAAGAAAAGATAGAAGAAACAGAAAAATGTAGTATTTTACTGGCCAAGACTAATTGAAAATGTCAGTGAGAAAAGTAGTCATCATAATGACTACCACCACCTATACTATCCTGCACTAAGAACTAATGGATATTCCATTCCCTCATTAATTTACTACTCCATTCATTACTTCCTCTGGAAAAGTTTCCAGTATTCCATTCATTTTTGGAAAGGGATTAATGGATGTGCTATGAATTTTCAATGAGCTCTCTGAAATTTGAGGAACTAATTAGGAATGTATTTACTTTCTCTTTTTTCAGGGTGATTAATTCCATGAAAGACTTTCAGCCTAATGTTACTCCAAAGAAAAAATTGAAAGGGGAAAGGAGGTTCTACTTCTGTAGACTAATGGACTGGTAATTAAAAAAAATTGAATTAAGCATTAACTCAGAGGAGTCGTTTTCAATATATAAATTATTTCTGTTTAGCCTTCTAGTGCCAGGTTAATTAAATAAATCCTTTGGCCTTGATTATAGCCATTAGTAAATGAAAATGTGTTTGAATTCACTAAGTCTAATGATTTACACTAGGAAATTTTGCCAGTTGCATATATTTTCTGTGCTAACAGTTTTCATAAAGTCAGATGCTTTATTAAGAAAACATCATCTTTATATATGGAAAACAAAAAGTCATTAGCTGCCTACAGAGGTAAACATGTAAAGCTATGGAGTTTCCATTTAAAGGAGTAACCTTTAAGAAACAAACACTAAACATTTCCACATCTTCAAACTGTGTGAAATCATCTCAGGCTTAAAAGGGTCCCCCATTCTTTCAGAAAAGCAAAAATTGGAAAATCTAGACTTTCTTCCTCAAGTTACTTTAATCAAGAAAAAGTTCAAGGACTAAAGCAAGAAAAGCAATTCTTAAGATGAATAAAAAAATCATATACAAAAGGAGTACAAAATAATACAATGAAAAAATCTACACTGAAATAAAGATTTGTAATCTATCTTCTGCGTACTCAGACTCATCATTTTATGCTATTATGCCAGTTACAATGAATTAACCTGAATATAACTTAAAATACCTTTATGTTTGTGTCTTTAATAAATCCTTCTATATTACTTTGAGCATACTAGCGACAATATATTGGCAATCAGTTTAAAATTTTATGCAATCAGTAACACCATAATCCAAATATAAACTCTTTTTTAAAAGATTTATTTATTTATGCATACAAGAGCTGGGGTACAGGCCAGAGATACGGGGGGTGAGAGGTTTCACCAGAGACAGAGTGGGGAGCAGAACAGACAGATTGACTGAAATACACTGCTGAGGGGAGCAGTGGACAAACCAGGAGAGGTCTGTCTCACCATGTGGGTTTCTCCCTGGCCAGCTGGGGATCGAACTCGTGCTGCAGAGGCTGTGGATTGCTTCATAGTGTGGTGCTTAACCCCTTGCACCACCAGGGAGGCCCAAACATAAACTCTTAACAATAGTGTCCATGTTCACTTTAAGGACACAGATATCTCTATTGCAGGCATACTGAAATTGCAATACACTGAAAAATAAAACTAGGTATCTTCTACCCATTCCTTTCAAGGAAATTTCAATTGCTAAGCCCCTAATTGCCAATAGACAATGTAGGGTATACTCTATAAAATTGTATCATAATAATTTTCTGTGTGGTGTCATTGTAATACAAATATATCTATAAGAGAAAGAAATGCCTATGCCAAGCACTTGGGAGACAAAAATGTCAAATGTAAACCAAGCAAACCAGAAAAAGGGCAAAACAATATGATCATAACAATGATCCAGAAAAGTATAATCTTATTCAGACAATTGTCTTTACATATCAAATCCTATGAAATTAGTCATGTAACTGATGTATTTATCTGATTGACCCATAATTAGAAATTCAAGGATAAAATGTAGCTGGTGATTTGGTTTTGGCACTATACAGTATATCATTGGGTAGTTAGTACATTATGCTATGCATTTGCAGATTCTTCATGTCCCCTGATTCAATTATTCTCATCCATGTGATTTCCCCCTTTTATTTATTTTTTGTAAGCATAGCATATTTATAGATTTTCATAAGTTCTTTTTCAATGACACAAGATAGATGTCAGCCAAAAAGAAAAAAAAAATCAGGAAGAGAGCCATTTCTACCACATGCACTTTATCTTCCATATAACACTGGAGATCACAATCATGAAAAGAGCACTGGATTTTCAAGAATCAAAAGACCAGGTATTTTATTATATCTTAGTAACTTATTACCCAAACAACTTCAGGAAAATACTTGGTCATTCCAAATCTTTCATGTACAATCAATGTATTTGAATCTACTATTTGCATCAAAGTTGCAAATATAAATTATAAGACACTGAAACACCATTAAAAAAAATCAGAAAATCCCATATAGATTATCAGCATAAAAACATATCTCTAGAAGGATATGACTCAAAAAGAGAAATAAAATAATCAATGAAATAATCAATATGTATGAATTTGCAAGATTTCTAGTTATTCTCCTCAAAGTGTTTTCAAATCTACCAAATCAACTTACTTCCGGAGCCTGAAGAGTTCCTCACTGCTGTGAAGGAGTCAGCACTCTGCCTGGCTGCTACAGAAGACCGACAGGGTGAAAGCATCTCCAAAGTTGATTCGTAGGATGGTGTCAGAAGTAAAGACGCTCAGCTACTACATATCTTCCCAACACCTGGCTGAATGGTTACAGGGATTCTTCAAAGGAGACAAGCACAAAAAGAGTGTGTCAAAACATGTTCATCAAATATATTTGAGAAATATATTGTTAAATGTGTGATCAATCTCCAACTATATCAGGAATATCGATAAATAGAAGATAAGCAGATTTGCATAACAATGCTTCCCAGTTGAATGTGCAGTATGCTCTGATTCCAATGGATATGCCAGCATTATGTTTTCCATTTTTGGAAGAAGTTTTATTATCTCATAATTGAAAATAATTTTAAAAAACAAAATAAAAACAATTTATTTTTTAAATCAATTCATATAACTTGCAAGTCAATGTTTGAAAATTGCATGAGTCAACAGATATTTAATGAGTCATAATATTTAACTTTTAAACTAGTTAATTAACTTTAACTAGTTCTATAAATCATAATATTCATTTTTTCCTTAAGATTGACATAATAACACCATTTGGTATTCAACCACTAATAATTTTAATTCAAAAATAGGCTAGGAAGTATTTTTGAAATGAATAAGTACATTTTAATTTACTTTGGTTATGATTTATTTTATCTGCAGAAGCATGAGGAGTAATATAATTTTAAAGAGTTAACAATAACAAACATATATAAGATGATACAAAAAAGATTCAGTTAGTTGGTTTTTGTTGTCTTAATTTGTAAATATCAATGATCTTATAAAGAAAAAAAGTAAGAGGATCATTATATTGTCTTGAGCTAGCTATACAACAATTAGAACTTTACTTAAAAAAAGTTAAACTATTGTCTAAATTAGTACCAAATTTACTCAGAAATACTAAAAATCTATGTACAGATGAATGGAAAAGTGATTATTATTTCAAATGATATTTTATGAATCTGCCAGCCAATGGTATATATTTTTAAAATTTATATTCATTGTAAAAGCTATTTAGTATAGAATTATAGCATAGCTCAGATATTATACACACACACCACACAGAAAAATCATAAATATAATTCAAATATGCCAACCACACTGAATCATTGCTTTTATTTATTTATTCCATTAATATTTTCAACTCATTTTCATTTATATATGCATGACAAAATGCATCACCTTCTTTAGCAATGAAATCCAAAAAGAAATTTAAATAATACCTAGAGAAAAATAAATGAAGACATGAGCATCAGAATGTACAGGATGCAGCAAATATGTAACAAGAGAGAAGTTAATAGTAACTGTTCTATATAAAGAACAAGGAGGATCTCAAACAAACAATCTAATTTTACAACTTTAGTAACTAGATAAAGAATCAAATACAACCAAAAGTGAGTTGAAGGAAGAAAATAATAAAAAATTAAAGTTGCAATAAATTAAATAGAAATAATAAAGACATTACAAAAGATCAATGAAATCAAGAACTGGTTCTTTGAAAGAATGAAATAGCCAAGACTATGGCTAGCTTCACTTAAAAAAATACATAAAATCTAATATAGTAGTATCAGAACTGAAACAACATAAGCTAGAAAAATGTCATGGAAATATTGCCATGACAAAAAAAGAGAATGATTTAGAAGAAATGTACACTTATTTTTTAAAATCAGACAACCTTCTAAGACAAATTAGGATGAAACAGAAGATAAGAACAGACCAATTAAAAGCAAAAATACTGAAATAATAACCGAAAGTATCCCAAAAAACAAAGGCCCTAACCAAATGGTTTCACAAGTAAGTTACACCAAACCTTCAAAGACAAACTAATCCCTACCCTCAAACTTCAAAACTTTGAAAAGGAAATGCTTCAAAATAGATATTATAAAGCTAAATAATAATATCAAAGCAGAGAAAAATATCATAATAAAGGAAAACTAGAGGTCACTATCCCTAATGAACATAAATATAAAAATCTTCAATAAAATTTCAGCAAACTGAATTCAATAATACATTAATGGACTCATACAACATGAAAAAGTGGAATTTAATCCAGGTGCGCAAAGATGTTTTGCATCTATAAATTAAAAAATATAATTCACTATATCTAGAAAAGGATCTAAAATCTTAGGATCATATCAATAGAAGCAGAGAAAGCATTTGACACGATCCAACATTCATTTACAATAAAAGCTTTCAATAATATTAATAAAACTTAACATAACAAGAAACATGCATAACAATCCCACAGCTAGCATAATATTCAGTGGTGAAAAACAGTTTTTCTCTAAGATCATGCAAGACAAGACTGTCTACTCTCACCATTATTATTCAACCTAATGTTGGAAGTCTTAGCCAAGGCAATTAGGCAAAAGAAAGATATAAAGAGAATCCAAATTGAAAAAGTAAAATCATCTCTATTTGCAGATGACTATGTAATAGACAAAGAAAACATTAAACAAGCCACCAAAAATTATTAGAAACAACAAATTAGTACAATAAAGTGTAGGCTACAAAATCACCATCAAAAATCTGTTGTGTTCTATATACAAGAAAGCAAACTTAAAGAGGCAGAAACCAAGATAATAATCCCATTTATAGTCACATTAAAAAATAAGTACTTATAAATAAATGTAGCAAAAGAGGTAAAAGACTTGTAATGGAAATTATAAAATGTTGGTAAGAAAATAGATGACACAAAAAATGGAAAGATATGTTGTGCTCATGGATTGGAAGAATTAGCATTGTTAAAATGGCCATCTTACCCAAAGCAATATACAGATCAGTGCAATCTCTATCAAAATTTCAATGTCTTTCTTTAAGGAAATAGAGAACACATTACTAAAATTTATATGGAGCCATAAAAGACACCAATAGCCAAAGCAATCCTGACCAAAAAAGAAAAATGTATGTGTTATGCAATCAGACTTCAAATTATACTACAAAGTAATAGTAATCAAAAGAGTATGGTGTTAGAATAAAAACAGACACACAAAGTGATGGAATAGAATTGAGAACTGTGAAATAAATGCACATTTATATAGTTAAGTTATGACAAATTATAAACTATAATTTATTAATTATAGGTAATTTATCACAAGCATACAATTGAGAAATATGTCTATTCAACAAATGGTGTTGGGAAAACTAGACAGCAAAAGAATGAGACTAGAACACTGTCTCACATTAAACATAAAACTAACTTAAAATGTATCAAAAACCTGGATGTAAAACTTTAAACCATAAAACGCATAGAATAAAATACAGGTAAAATTCAATGGAATTGGCTTCAGAGGTATTCTTTGGGATTTGACTTCAATGACAAGGGAAACAAAAGCAAAAATAAACAAATGGGACTGCAGCAAATGTAAAAGTTTCTGCACAGAAAATAGACTATCACTAAAAGCAGAAAGTTACCCCACCAAATGGTAGAAAATGCTGATGTAATATTAGCCCTGACAAGGTGCTGAAGTTATGGAAATTTATAAAGACTCAAAAAACTCAACAACAAAAACCAAATAACTCAATTGGAAAAAAAAAAAAATGAGCAGAAAAGCTAAACAAACACTTCTCCAAAGAAGACCAAGCAGGTACTTCAAAAGTGTTCATCATCATTTATTATCAGGAAATGCAAATCAAAATCACAATGAGATATCACCTCAAACCTCTAAGAATGGCCCATATTAAAAATACCAAAAAGTAGTGTAAAAAGTAGTGATGGTGAGGATGTGAAGAAAAAGGAGGTCTTGCACACTGTTGGTGAGAATGTAGACTGAACTAGACTCTAAAACAAACAATATGGAAGATTCTTAAAATATTAAAAATAGATCTACCAAATGACTCAGAATCCCATTCCTAGATATCACTCTAAAGAATACAAAAACATTAATTTGGAAAGATATATGCTCTTCTATGTTCATATGCAACACTGGTTCTAATAGTCAAGTTATGGAGATAACATTAGTGTTCAAGGATAGAGGAATGGGTTGAGAAGATATGGTACATACACACAAGGGAACACTATGCAACTATAAAAAAAAAAAAAGATTAAATCTTGCCATTGCAACATGGATATGCTAAGCAAAATAAGCCAGAAGAAGGAAGATAAACAGTTTTCTTCCATGTATACTTATATGTGGGATATAAGAAAACAAAGCAAGGGCACAGACAAAGCTAAATCAAAACAACCCTAATATCTGCCTGTAAAACTGAAGCTACCAGAGGTAGAGATTGATAGATGGGGAGCAAGTGGGGCAGGGGCCCAAGGGACTATTGTAGAGGGGTATTGGTAATTCAGTGGTGGCCTTCGTGTGATAACATGCACTTAAAGAGGTGCCTCAAGAAAGAGGTGCCTCAAGAAAGAGGTGCCTCAAGAAAGAGGTGCCTCAAGAAAGAGGCACTTTCGTCTTCAATTTAAATATCCAGAGGCTGAACACTTATGAATCCACCAAATGGTATCAATTCTCAATCTTTCTACATCTTAATAGCACAAAATTAGCAATATGAGAGAGGTGTTCTAAATTAGTCCTTAGTTGTACATACCTGGTATTGAAAATATTAAAAATCATGCATTTTATAATCTAGATGTTTGATCCATGTGATGCAAAATAAACAGTTGTTTTGAAATATATGAATAAATGATTCATATTTGTTCAATATCTTATTTAATAGTTAAATAATAATGCACTGTTTGGCATGATGTTGCCATGATCCTTAATGGACTATTCTAAAAATGAGGATATAAGAAATGCTATTTTATTCAAATAACTTGAAAATATTTGAGGCAGAAATATAGAATAAAATTGGAAACCATTTCAGATTAGTGACTTTTCAACAGCATAAATATTCAGTGGGATTCATTTAAATACTATTACTAAATCATGCCTACCTCATCACCAGTACTGGTACACTTAGTTTAAATAATTAGAGACACTGATTGAATATGGAAATACAATCATGCTATTGGTTAGAAGTATAGTATCATACACTCAGTTAAAGCAAAATATTTAGAAATTACTATACATGTCCAGTATCATATAATAAATAAATTAATGCATCACTAGAGCATTTATTGCTTAATGTAAATGTCACATTGTAAATGAGAACCACTAATCATT